GAGTTGTGGGTGCCTTTGCCGAAGCGGCTCGTGCTGCCGCAGCCTTCAGCTGCAGGGCCCAGAAGCCCTACTGCTGTTTGTAGTGACGTTCGGTTAGCGAGGGGACTGTTCCTGCAGCAAACCTGGTCTGTGTATTTTAAAACAAAACCCGTTAGGAGATACGGCTGGTTCGAGAACCTGTTTCAGTTCCTCGAGGCTGTGTCTATGGCCCTGAGATCCTGGTGTGCTCCAGTCTTCCTGCGTCTCCGGCACGTCGTGGCTCTCCTCCCCACGTAGCTGGACTCGTGTGAACTTACCCTGCACTTTACAGCTGAGTTTTTCTCATGTCGTCAAGGTCCCCTGACATTTCAGGCTTTGAAAAACGGGTCATAGTGGTGCAGTTGCCCCTTTTAGACAAAATAGATTTAACCTGATGTTTTTGTCCTGGGGTCATGTTGTGCTAAAACCAAGTTTACAGTGTAGTCTAAAATGTTGCTCCAGCTCCTGATAGCTGTCAGTGAGACGAGGATCCTGTGTTACCAAGAGTGGTTCGCTCATCCCTTGAGGGAGGTGATGGCTGAAACTATTGCGTGGTCTCACGGGTTGCTTAAGTTGACTGAGCAAATGTGACAAGGATGGAAATGTAGGTAAGCTTCAGAATAAAAGCACTGCGCTTGCAGGTGGGAGCCCAGATTTGCACACAGGAGAAGCAGCAGCTATTGGTACCACAAGGACCATCCAGTATGTTCCCTGACTCACACATTTAGGGTGCTGGTTCCCCCTCTTGATTATTTTTGACCCTAAGTAGATGTTACTGGGTGCCCTCAGCTCCATCAGAAAATTTGTGCTGCCCTGGTATGAGAAATGAACTCTAATAATGTCTTTGTCTGAAACTTTCAGGTTTAAGTGGGATTGCTTTTAAAAATCAGCCTTTGGATCGCCTGATGGGGTGTAGTGGAACAGCAGATCTGAGTCTAGAGGAGCCCTTTGGCACGAAGCAGAGGAGCTACCAGACGGCTCTGCTTTCCAGCCCCACTGTAGCCTTTGCCTGAGTCAGGGATTTGAAGGGGCCGATCCCTCCAGATGTGCCATGCAGGGAGCCCGGCATGCTTCCTTCCAGTCATCCTTCTTACACCTGCTGCCATCAGATGGCTGGAGAACCCACATCCTCCAAGTTGGGAGTGGATCTGACTTCCCACGTGGATGGGATACTCCAGGGTGGTTGTGGGCGATGCAGATGTTTTTTGAGCAGCTGCCATTGACCGAGTGCAGCCCTGGGGATTGTCCCTTGAGCAGGGAGGACCTTCCTTCCACAACTGGCCTGCACAGGGGCTCTGCCTGCTGCTTTCCAAGACAGGGCTCAACACGCTGACACACTGGTTGCTTCTGCATCTTAGGAAGTTGTACTGATCCCTAGAATTGGGATCTGAACCTGTGCAGGCAACTGGCTGTTGACACAAATCCAGTTTGGCTCAGTGGCTGAGGTGTGAGTTGTCCCACGTCAGAGCTGCAGAGCTGTGCGTCGGTCTGTGCTGTACAGAGGTAGCAAACACCGCCGAGGTGATAATAGCGGCACAGAGACATCCAGCTTGGCCCCCGATCACAAGCAGAGAGAAACGGCATGACTCCAGACACCTAAAAAGTACCGCCGATGCTCTCTAAAGGAGGGCTCACGTGTAACCTGCAGTCAGAGGATGCTGATTGCATCCGAAGGGCTGAAAATGTGCATGGGAAATGGTGGTTGCTATTGATGAGGTGGTTTGTTTTGGGGTTTTTTTTGTGTTGCAGAGGAACCTGTTGGAGGAAGATTCGGATGAAGAGGAAGACTTTTTCTTGTGAGTTTCTGAACGACCGCTGTAGGGAATGCGATGTCCTAACTACTCACATCTCTGAGACTGGAGGCATTGATTACCGAAGTCTGACGATTACCTTAACCCTGACTATACTGTGATTCTGTGAAAAGCTGCTCCCTGCCACATAGGCGGAGGCTTAGGAATCAAAACCTTTGATTCCTTCGAGATGATCTCCCAGAGCCTTGGCATCAAGCATGAATTAAGACTTAATAGGTGTGACATTTATAAGAGCGGGGTGTCCCACCTATGCTGAGACATGGGAGGGACGGATGGGAGGTATGAGAACAGTCCTCTGTCCAAAAGGCATTGATTCTGTCTTGCATGTCTTTTGAGTCTGGTTTAAAAACGTGTTCTTGTTGTATCTTCCATCCTGATGGCTGTCTTTTGCGCCTGCAGGAGAGGGCCTTCTGGACCAAGATTTGGACCCAGGAATGACAAGATCAGGCAGTAAGTCGTTGTTCCTCAGTGTCACACAGATATTTTATTCTGGCACTGTGAGCTCCCGTTGCTGTCTTACTGGGGTATTTCTGTGTAGTTCTGAATATGAACACGGCTTGTGCTTGCTTTCTTCTAATTGACGTTTCCTACCCTACATGCCCACAGCTAAGGCAAACCTCAGATTTGATTCAAGATGTCAAGAAATTGTGCATTGACAGAGGCGAAGGGGTAGGATTGTATTACAGTAGCTTAGTGGAGTTTGTAAATCCCTTGCTGTATTTTGGTGGTGACCTGTTCCATACTTTTATAAGGCTATTTTTCTAGAGCATTAACCCTGGATTTTAACTTTCTCTAGTGCCATTTTTTTATTGTTTCATTGCTTTTTTCTTCACCCCGTAACTTGCTCCTTGATGTTTCAAGAAAGCAAGTGGTCAGGAACACACCGGGACTGTGTTTTTTTGGGCAGCGGCTGGTCCTCTGGCCTCCTCCTCTCAAGATAAAAGCTTGATATAGGTGACCTGGAGATGAGCAGTGACTCAGTGGGGTCAAAGCAGCTGGAAAACAGGAAGCCATTACAGCTGGGGGAGGATTAGGGCAAGAAGGAAGGAGTGAACGCTATGAATCCTTCTCCCATCGAGTCATTTCCTGGATGATGCTTGTCATGGGCTTCAGTTTGTCCTGCCCTTTCCAATGAGGGATGCGATGGTGGTACTTAATGGAAAGGGGCATGACGTTCACAGCCCCCTGGTTTTCTTTGCTGACCTCCGCGGAGTTGGAACAGAGATCTGTGTGGGGACTGATGACTGAGTGTTTTTCAGACTGGGTTGTCTTGTGTGCAGCCTGAGTGTTGCTCTTCGTTAGGGATTTTTTTTTTTTTATGCCAGGAAGAAGCCAGTGCAGCTCCGAGATGACTCATTGCCAACGTCAGCATTAGGCAGTGCTTGCTTATATGCCTCCTTGCCACGTTACCTTGAGGGGCGAAGTGCACCTGAGTTACAGAAAGAGGCAGTAGGTTGGTGACTGCGCCCTGAGTTTTCAGGGTGTTTCAGCCCCATTCCCTTCAGGGTGTGAGGATGCCGTTGGTAGAGGCGCACTGGTCCTTACAGTAAGCCAGTGTGGATAAAGCCTCCCTTCTAGGGCAGTGATGCACTGGCCTGGAGTGAATGGGAAGGGTAAGAATTGGTTTTACAAGTCAGGTCCTGCCCCCATAAAAAGGTAGAGAGGGGTTGATGTCTACCTCTTCATCCTCCTTTGCTGGAAAGGAATTACAGGGCATCTTCTGTCTTCCCAGTGTGGCTGGGGAAAATGGGAGCTCTTCTCTTCCCACTGTCTTGGCCAGGCAGAAGGGAGCAGGGGCTTAGGTAGAGGATAGCACCGCAGCTGTGAAGGGGAAGAAAAATGAAAGAAGAATTCACTCGGGAGTTGGTGGGTTCATAGGTGTGATGTGACTAATGCCCAACACACATGAGACTTGCCCGTTGCCAGAGATTGCCTGTCTAGTGGACCTGGTATGGGATATGTCCTTTGGGGTAGCAAATGGCTACATCTATCTAGTATCTAGAACATCTATTATAAAATAGTATCTATTTTCTGCTCTCATCGATGTTGATTGCTTTGTTTAATAAGCACTTAGAGTGTGCAGTCATCATTTCTTGTCATGGAGCTTATTATTAAGTTTCTGATCAGACCAGCCCTTGTGCTCATTGATGCCTGGTCTTGTAATGATGCGGCTTGCTCTGGTTTCAACAGAGGAGGAAAAGGAGGGTTGGGTTGCTGCTGAAACACTATAAGGAAAAGACATTTTAAGGAGGAATCTGAGCATTTGGAGAGCTGAGGCATAGCTGGGCAGAGAGATTGTTGCTGTACAGGACTGGAGGAACGAGGTGTGAAGATAGGCACAGAAGGAAACTGGATGGAGGACTGGGTAGAGGAAAAAGTGATGGGATTATGGGAGCAAAGGTGCGGAACATGTTGAACGTGAGGGGCAAGACTGGAAACTTTTCCTAGTTGTCCTTGGCAGCCAAGGGGCTTGGGTCAGGGTGGAGAGTTTGGCAGCAGAGACCCTCAAGGCTGGCTCAGCTGCGGAAAGAGATGGTGGGGAACACTGCAAACCTCGTAGAGGAAAGAAACAAGTTACAGCCAGCCATAGTGGCAGGAGGAAGTGTCACAGTCCCCTCCACGCTGTGTCTTGTCCTGATGTGTCTGGAATTTCAGGCTCTGTTTTCCCAGCAGCTTCTCAGTTGAGGTGGATGATCCACCAGTAATTAAGTGGCCACATGGGGTCCCTTCAGCTTGCTCTGAGACCTCCCCACCCCTGGGGTGGTCTGGAGCTGAAAAGTAGCTTTTAACAGGCTTTTGTCCTTTTCCCCAAAGTTACAGAGAACAAGTAAGGGAGAGCTGATCTCTCTTCTTTGCCTTCCAGGTTTGTATGAAGCCCTGAATGTATGTTGTGAGAGCTCTTGGTGCCTTTCTGGGGGAAAGTGGGACGTTCATCTTCCACCTGGGTTTCTTTATTTAGAGTAGGAGCCTCTTACGACGCTAGCAAAATTGCCCCTTTGTCTGTGCCACTTGACTTTCTCCACCATTGATGTTTCTGCTTTCAGGCATCCATGCTGGTTCCTGCTGGTGCTGTCAATGAGGCTCAGCACACAGCTCCCCCAGGAGCCAGGTCTTGGTCCCAGTGATTGCCCCGTTGCACTGCTGGGAGCGGCCAGCATTCCCAGCCCCAGAGCTCGGCCCCAGTGGCTTTGTCTGGCTGCAAGCCCCAAAATTATGTCCTGAGGATGGGGAGGGTTTGGGGAATGGTTTGAAGGCAAGAGTTGGCAGCAGCTTCCCAGGGCCTGGCTGCTCATCGCAGGTGGCTGGTTGTACAGTGAACCCCATCTGTAGTCCAGGCTTTCATCTGAAGGTGGTACGAGATCGCATCGTCAGTCATCGTTGTTGGGTGTAATCTTTTCAAGGACTAACAGGCTTCAGGGAGGCATAGGTTGCTGTCTTCCTCACTGTTGTGATGAACCAGGAACTCAAACCCAGCGATTTGTGGCAGGGTTCAGCGCTGACACCCCATTGTTGAGTACAGCAGAGCTGTCTGCCGGGCAGCCCCTCTGCAGAGAGCCGTGCCTCGGGGAGCGCTGCGCTCTGCTGGCCTCCTGCCTTTGCAGCGTCCATCCAGCTTGGCTCTCCATCCTGTTCCCTTTTCTCTGGGTTACTGCCACAACGAGGGCTGTTTGGGTATAATTTGCACCAAAATACACAGCACTATTAATATCGTTGGGGTGGAAAATAGAAGTGTGTCATGCTGGCTGTAAACAGCCGGCTTGGAGACAAGAAGCAGCCTTGAGCAGCATATCCCATGGTGTGTGCATGGCCTGTTTACCGTGTCTGAAGAATGCAGCACTGTTGTTAGCCCAACACCGTGACCAGCCTGGGGAGTTTTTCAGTAGCTAACCCAGTGCAGCCAAAATGGAGAGGCTTATTCCTCCCACTCTGGACCCAGCAAAGTACAAGAAAAGAGGAGTCTAAACCAAACTAAGTGCTGTTTGGTCTCTTGTTTTTGCTTTGATGGTGTACACTTGCTGATCCTTCTTAAAAGCATCATATTTGCAATAATTAGTAAGAAGGAGGGTCGTGGGAGACACATTTTATGCATTTGTCTTCCTCCCTTTCCTGGCAAGTATTTATTCTACTTTATTTCTCTTGGAAATCTGGCAGGAGTGAAGCACATGAAATGTATGTGTCAAAAGCCAATAGCTCCCTAACAGGAAATACGCTTCGTACTAGAGGATTCATTCTCTCTTGCCAAATAAAACAAGAAAATATTTTCTTCTTGATGCGAGTTGAGTTTCCAACCTCAAGCATGCCAAACGAGTGGGGAATTGTTGAATTTGCTCTGAAACTGCAGGGCTAATGCATAGGCTGGGCATCATTCAGGCTCCTCCTGGAGAGGCATCTCTTGCAGCAGTGATGGGTGGGAGAGAGCAGAAAGCAAGTACTGGCTTAAGGTCTGGTTAAGGCACTGTGTGGAGATCAAAGTTTAATTATCTGGCTTGTTCCTTTTTTTTTTTTCTTTTTTTTTTTTTCCCAGGGTTCTCTTTTACATCTGATAGCAAAAGGTATTGGGGTACTCAAATGTGTCTGTGTTCCACGGGAGTTAAAAACCTCAACATTCGTGAGAGTTCAAGCCTTGATTTCTCTGTGCCTCCATTCTCTGTCTGTGAATTGTTTTGTTTTCTTGGGGGGACAGCTAACAGCCTGCCCAGGCTATGGGCAGGCAGCAAAGGCATGCAGTGTTCCGCTAGCAGCTCACGTGAAAAGAGGTGGGATGCTGAGATGCAACTTGGGCAGTAGGGGTCTGCGCTCCATAGGTCTCTCCAAAATGCTGGTTCGCAGCAGAGCACTTGAAGTTACATGTCTGCCCACTCTGCCTGGAATGTTACAGGGTGCCCTGGAACTGCAGCAGCAACTCTCTAGGCTCTGACCTGTACTGGTGGAGATACAGGTGGCATCGCACTGTGCTGCCCATTCCTAGGTGCACTGTAACCTTGCATGCTCCCGCTTGTTAGTTGTACCAAGAGAACTCGGTTACAAATCTGTTGTGAGAGGAAATCTTTATTTTGAAGCCAGTAAATTATTTTAGAAACGTTTACATACTGCAAATGTAGTCTTCTGCCCGTGAAACTGATGTTTAAGGCTTAGAGTTTTTGCCAAGTTGGCTCATCTGGGATACCAGATGTTTCTGCTTTTCCTCTCTCGCCCCAAGCTATAGCAGTGTTGCTGGCGGCTCAGAGCTGGGACTTGTCTGTTGCGCTGAGGTAAGGAAACCCCCTCACAGAGCGTGTCTCCTCCCCACATCCTCACCCGCTGCCCCAGTGAAGGGCCACGGAACTGCGCGTGTCCTGCGTGGGGTGGACACCTTGCTACACAGGGTACCACCATGTGTTTCCTGGGCAGCATCTGCCTGCATCCTCAGTGCCACCTTCTGCACTTTCCCAGTGGTGACAGCTCTGCCACTCACCCTGTACCACTTAAAAAAAAAAAAGGTTCGTGGGCACAGGGAAGGTTCCGGCTGAGAGGTGTTTGGGGATTATCTATGCCTTTCCATAAGGAAACCCCCTCACAGAGCGTGTCTCCTCCCCACATCCTCACCCGCTGCCCCAGTGAAGGGCCACGGAACTGCGCGTGTCCTGCGTGGGGTGGACACCTTGCTACACAGGGTACCACCATGTGTTTCCTGGGCAGCATCTGCCTGCATCCTCAGTGCCACCTTCTGCACTTTCCCAGTGGTGACAGCTCTGCCACTCACCCTGTACCACTTAAAAAAAAAAAAGGTTCGTGGGCACAGGGAAGGTTCCTGCTGAGAGGTGTTTGGGGATTATCTATGCCTTTCCACTCAAGATAATAAACTCCTGGCAGGTGGCTGCCGTTGATGGGGAAGACAGGAACTGCCACCACACAGTGTAGGTGGGTGCAGAGAGATGCTGCTCCCACGGACTCTGCGATGCAGCAAAGGGAAGGCAGGTTGCTTTCTTGCGGTATCCTAAATAAAGCAAGTTTTTACGTGCGCTGCTGGAGTCTAGCATGTGCCATATGAGGGCTATTGAGTCAGAAATTGGCTTCAAAGGCGTTGCCTGGGTGTTCCAGCTCTGGAAGCTGCAGTGCAGTGGTGCTACAGAGCCCAACCTGAAATGCTAAGATGGGAAGTCCCTTCATATTCAAAGATCTGGAGCTCTTTCTAGAGCTTTTTGGGAGAAAAAAGCTTTTTCTTTTAATGACTTTCCGTGCCTGTTTTTGGAACAGTAAGTAAATACGAGCAAGGCATGTGCTTTTCCATTGCGACCGCTATTGCTTGTTGCAGGCGCTTCTCACATGTGCGTCTGAGCACAAGTGTCTACTTGGGGAGAGGCACGTACCTGGTATGGAGACAGGAGAAATAGGTCAATGTGAACCTATGTCTCTAATTAATGAATTAGGGGCATGGTGGCTAGGGTTCTTGGTTCTGCAGTGCCCCATTGATGGGCCTTGTGCAAGTTGCTCTGGGTGTCCCTCGGCCCCAGCTTCCTGGGCCGTGGTGGAGGATATGCTGTCCATGTTGCACCAAGTGCCCTGAGCTTAGATGCTGGATGGTGGCTCTCTGAGTGGTGGAGTTGGGTCTGGTGCTGCTGTAAAAACTTCTTGACTTGGCAAATAACGTCTTTTGAACATCCGCATCTGTAGGACAGCAGTGGGGAGGAGAGGTGTTGCATGGGTCCAAAGAGAAAGACGTTGTGACTGGATAATTTAGGGAGTAGGAGAGTGTGGGTGCTAGGCAGGCAGAAATGACAAAGTGGTGGCAACCGTTCTTCCCTTTGGGGACACCAGTGACACACTCTTAATAGGAGGTGTATGTTTCTGGTAACATGGAGAGCTGCTGAAGTGACCTATTTGTGCTGTATATTTGAGAAATGCTGGATGCACTTTGATATATTTAAAGTGCTTAAATGTTTTTAATCAAGACGACCTAAGTCATCAAACCTAAGACTTATGCAGAGCGAGTGGCCTGGAGCTATTTCTGTTTTATTGCCCTGTGTGTAGTGTTGCCTCCAAGACATTGCTGTTGCCATTTACTTTCTGGGAACGGTATGTCTCAAACAATGTATTGTCTCCCTAGGGCCCCAAGAAATTTCTTATTTCTATCTCCAGGAAAATAAAAGTGTATTAGCTCCAAAATACAAACCAGAATGTAGCAGTATTTTTCCACCAGGAGAATTTTTCTCTCTTACCAATGTGGCTTTTTTATGGAGTGAATAAATGCATTTATAATAACCCTGCGGGTGTGATTTAGACTACTGTTCGCTGAAGCGACTACCCACAGAGTTGCGTAACCTATGAGAAGATGGATTATAATAACTCGGTTTAGTTCATATCAGCCATTTCTTTACTGTTCTCTTGGTGCCCCTGGCAGAGTGGGTTTCATTTAGCGACTCAGTTCCCAGAGCGGGGAGTGCACCTTGCTTTGATTTCATCCCAAGTCATTCAGCAAAGGTGTGAGGTGTGGTGCGAGGTTCTATGAAATCTGGAAAGATAAGGTGCAGTTTTTACGTTTTGGTTTTTTTTTCCCCTTTGATGTGAGCTCTTCTGCGGTAGAGTTGCCCATCAACAGCAATTAGTGCCTTTTCTTACTGCATTTTTGTCTTAAAGGTGTTACAGAGGATGCCCCACTTTTTCTGACTTCCCAGTGCTCTCTTTGAGCCCCTTGTGTTCCCTCACCCTTCCTGGGATTGCCAGAGACCTACTGCAGGTGATGCTGCGCCTCTGGCTTTCTGGAGGTTGATGGTGATACCGTCAACCTCCCTCCATTGTTGTCCCCTCTGATTTTCATCGGTGAGCTCTCAGGTTCTGCCAGCCCGGGCAGCTCTGAGCGAGGGCTGGCGCTGCAATGCACAGCTAGTGGTGCTCGCTTCTGCTCCTCATGCTGCTTTTGCTCTGCTCTAGTGTCCAGAACCAGGTGGATGAAGTCATCGATGTTATGCAGGAGAACATCACAAAGGTGATTGAAAGAGGCGAGCGGCTGGATGACCTGCAGGATAAATCAGGTGCGATGCTAAATGCAGCTCTATTGGCCTTTTCCCCATGTCTCTTCCCCGTTCCTGGGCCAGGTTACTTGATTTCAATTCAGAAAGTGCCTGACGACAGACCTGGGCTTGTATTTCTATCCTGGAAAGTGGTGTTTCCCAGTCTTGGGCTGCAGATCTGACTTTCTGCTGACATTTTTCTCTTTCCACCTTCACCTTCTGCTGCTCTGTGCAGAGGTGTTAGTTTGGAGGCATTTGGGTGCTGTGATCTCGTTGGTCCTTCAAGCTAAGGTAGATTGGTCTGTCTCCCAATGGCCCTGAGCACTTCAGCTGTCCGCTTGCTTGCTGGCTTGCAGAGTGAATTCCTGTCCTCAGAGGGCATCCAGTACAAAGGGGGCTCAGTGGGACTCGGCAGGTCTGTGTGTGCTCTAGCAAAGGGCGTCACATTGGCATCTGCTGTGGCTTTGGTGAATCACGCTGTGGTTGGGTCTTCTCCCCTCATGCCGAGTTTATTGCTTAAAACTGTGGAGTTAGTAGAACGAGTGGGTGCTCTGCCTGTGTGCACGCTGCTGAATCGCCTCTTTTCTTTCCTTCAATAGAAAGCTTATCAGACAATGCAACAGCTTTTAGCAACAGAGCCAAGCAGCTTCGGAGACAGATGTGGTGGCGAGGTTGCAAGGTGAGCAAGAACAGGAACAGGGGTGGGTTTGTGGAGGCACAGTTACCTGCCCTCCCCTGGGAGCGGGTGGAGAAGCTCTATTTTCTAGCTGAAAAGATGCTGGAAGCCAAAGGCCTGCTTTCAGGTAGAAGCAGGTACACATGTAACACACCTCTGTGCTTCCCTTGCAGATGAAGGCCATCATAGCACTGGTGGCAGTCATTCTCCTGCTCGTTATCATTGGTGAGTAGCTCCAGGTCACTCCAGCCACATCTGGCATTGAAATATTCATGGCGCTCCACACCATGACTGACACCGTGGTGCTGTTGTCCCTGGGGGAGAGCACCTGAGCCACTCCCATTGCGCTCCACTCTGTCTTAAGCGGTCATAAATGGTGCCTGTAGACCACTCCGTGCTGCTCTTCTGCAAGGTTTAAATGCAGAGGAACAGGCTCAAACTAAATCATACTGACTGTGGCCAAAGGAAGCAAACATTTCCCTGCCCTGACAACATTGTACCCATCCCGGGTTGGCACCAACTGATCCCGAGGCTGGTGGGAATAGATGGAAGAGTTTCAGACTGGAGCAATGTCTCCCAAAGGCCTCTCCATATATATCAACCATCTTGCAGTGGGTCTGGTCCCTGCAAAC